TTCCCCCTAACAATGATATCTCAGGAGATTCATCGAAACCAAGTTTCTCTTCGTATCTAGAGTATATTAGTGTACAGGACTTCATCCATATGTTAGTAGTTGATGGAAAATGGACATCTATTTAATGCGAAAGCGCATAATTTCTCGTTCGTCCCTTGGCTATCTGATGCTTAGCTCAGAAGTTTCCTACTACTGTATCAAGGAATTTTACCATTGGTGTTACTACAAACATTCTAATCCGAGGACTTCCTTTTAAACTTTATTCATATACTTTTTAGTTTAACCACGTTTTCACAACTTTTTTAGAGTATTCGCGATAATTTCCAGTGTCGGAATTTCATTTAGCTCCCTCAACCCACTTGTAAGTTGTTTTATGCTGCACATGAAACTTATCGACTGACTGTCTATGATCCTTCACTTCAGAGCACCATTTACGTCACACTTGAGCATTTAAAGAAAGCTGATTCTCAAGCCTAGGCAGCTTTATCTCTCCAGGCTTCAGATCCATGAGTCAGCTATCCTCTTTCTCATCCTCACACCATTCTCGCTCATTCTCTGGGGCATTGTGTCGGGCTTGATTAGGAACCGTTGGTATGGAAATGGAGCCCTTCCTTTTTCCACTCCGTAATTGTCTAAAGCACACTCCTCTTATCTAGCAAGTTGAAAAGCCCACCAAATCCTAAGGCTCTAGTCAATTCCGCATGTGTATGTTAGTTGGTAGCCCCCTTAGATAGCCTCTTACCACAGGCACACACATGAAAAATGTACGCAATCGCAGATACATAAGCATATGCTGGTTTTCGCAACCAGAATACACTGAAATCGAGCTAGATTTTAGCCTAACACCTCTAATAGTGTACCCTTTGCATTTTATTCGTTTTATAAGTAGGTTTTCGAGTTTTCCAGTAGATCATATATATGTAATGTATTAATCTTATTCCATTTAAGGTGATAAGGAGACTAGTAGTTAAAGTATCTAATAATCATATCTATAAATTCTACATTTGCATTGCATTTCACATACCAAAAAGGTATTCTCATACAGGCAGTAGTGGACTGCAGTTTCGACCTCGCCTGAACTGGTATCATTAGCTCCCACAGCGCGACTCGAACCATGAAAATGCAGCCTATAATCTCGACACGTTAACTACTACACCACATCGCCACGAACTCCCTAGGGTCACAGAACAGATGTGAATTTCCAGGAAGGCCAGACATTTTCCCATATTACATTCTGTGTTGGGATTATCGATAAAGCAAAGTTGTATTTGCTATGACAATCAGCTATATTACTTATTTTAGTTTATAAGTAGGCTGAAAAGTACATTAAAAGGCAGGTGAATACTACTCGAAAACCTGCCCATAAGGCAATCGATTGCTATTACACATAAAACTTTACCTAATCGACAATCCCACCACGAAATGTGCTATGGGAAAATGCCTGGCTTTTCTTGAAATTCACATCTGCCTTGTGCTCCTTTGGCGCTCTTTCCGGTCTAGATTATACGCTGCATTATCATGATTCGAGTCCAGCTGGGGATGCTGAGAAGACCCAGGCGAGGTGGAAACTGCAGCCTACTGCTGCCTGTATGAGAATACTTTTTGGGAAAGCAAGGCTATGTGAAATTCAATGAAAACGTAAAGTAAACTCACATGAATGTGGTAAAATTCAACCATCACCCCGTTATCACCTTCAACGAAATAGGGTTAATACATTACATATGTACAATTAACATGTTTTTGGCCTATTTTCTCATATCCCAAAAGTGAACCGACACCTGACTTCCATTTTACCTTTATGATCCTTTTATTGGTGATGTCTCTTGCTATTTTTAAATAGTTGTCCTTGGTCACGACGTCTTTTTTTAGCCGTCTCCGCCTAATCTTTAAGTCTACCCAGGAATACGAGTTAAGATTGGAAAGGGTATGGCGGAAGGAATGAAATGACAGTTTAGAATTAATTCAAAGACGATTATTCAGCATGTTTTAATGAGAAATAAATGATTTTCTCTGCCTTATCCAGCGATCTTATTAATAATAAAAGCTTGAATTGCTCATAAAAAATTGTAGAACAAATAAAGCCTGTAACTGACCCATCGAACGTCATTGGACGAAAGCCATTCTTTATCGGTTTTCCGATTGCAAGTTTGCAGTTACGGTCAGAAATACCATTCTGTTACCTGAAAGCATGTTATTCTTCCCCAGACTGCAGCATGCAGGCCCGAGTCAGAAATACAAATACATATAGGTTATATTTACTCATAGAGTTATGGCAAATAAGTTCTGACCTTAGTAAGGACTCTCGATATTTGAGTCTAGAAAGTTAAATAAAGGGGCTAATAAAAAGCACCAAGAGATGCCTATTGAAAAGATCCGGTACCTTAAGTATGGTCGGTCATAAAACCTGTCACTCGAACTCCTATTTAAAGGCCGATCTTTTCAATGAGAGATACGTTTTATGTAAACTATGAAAGAGATAAAAGCAAATTTGAATAGAACTTATAGCCTTTCTCTAACCAAAAACTACTACCATTGAGACTATAGAAAGTACGGCGGTGAATAGTTTCATTTGAAGCCAAGCGAGGTGACTAATTCCGCAGCAGTGTTCGGCGGTGTTTGGGTGAGAAGCTGAAATCCGGGCTTCGAACTGGCCAGATAGGCTCTTCGGGTCAGGCCTGTCGTCGTCGAGAGGGCCAGCACACTGTCGGCACCGACCGTCAAAGAGCTGCTTCCGCCCTGTCCCACTGAGACGTCCGAGCAGGACAGGTCTGGAAGAGGCGGCTTCATTTCGTCGGTTGGCACGAGGCTGGAACGGAACTGACCCTCAATCGGGCAGGGCTTCTGATCGTGAGAAGAGGATTGCTTCAAGTTCTTCGAGGCTTGTGAAGTCATCGCTGCCGTTTTCGCTGCCGCTGCCGCTGCTGCTGCTGCTGCCATTGCTTTCGTGCCCGGTTTGGCTGGCCTCTCAGACACGGAGGCCTGGTCGGGACTGGCGACCAGCTGAACAATGGATCCATTCGAGTCGGACATGTTGCAGGTGGGGGTGGGAAGGCTGTAGTAAGGCTGGCTGTCTTCGGTGCTATGGCAGAGATGCAGGGGTTCTCCTCGACTGTGCTTCTCCTCACTCTCCTCACTTTCGTCCCTCTTCTCCTGAAGCAGATTGCCACCATCTTCACGTCCCATCTGTTTCCATGGCAACACTGTCTCCATGGGTTCAGGGGGAGCGGGACACTTTGGCTGAGAATAGGAGGGGGAAGACAGTTTTTCTGTACCACAGGCCAGTTCTGCGCCATGAGCGGACAAAACGGTCCGCTCATCGGTCTGGCCTGAGTCGGCTCGCCGCAGCCAGGACGTGGATGAGCTTGAAATGGCATTAATAATACTATTTTTGGTGCTACGAATATGAATAATATTATTATTAGTAGAGGGAATAGCAAGTGTCAACGCCTTTACTGGCAGACCGGTGTCCTCCAACTCGGGCTCCTTAGCTTCTTGGTCCTGTTGGCGACTGATAACACTGTTGTTCCTGTTCGCAGGAGCTAAAGTCGAGGGTATCTGCCGGTCGGAGAGAATGCGACTTGCAGACTTTCCGGTTTGGTATTCTCTTGCCAGTTTCGAGGCGCCAGTCTCTCGAGACCGTTTGTCACCGGCTCCACCACCGGCTCTGTCGCCATTGTTTACGGCCACAGTGGATTGCATACTCCGGCGCAGAACGCCGGGCACAAAGAGCCTC